AAACAGAAATTATTTATATTGAAAAGAACAAAACTTTAATACCTGATTTCCAAGGGTTGTCCTGGTCAGTTTGATCCAGGCGACTTGGTCGTTCGCTTAATTTTTTTTCACCGCGTAGTTTTTAAGTTGTATCGTTGAAATTAATTGTAAAATTTTTATCTTAGTAATTCAATGAACCCTACTTGCATCATTGCAATTTTCTTAATAAACGTTAAATAATTTACTAAAAAGTAGCGAGTGAAAGCCAGCTATTTTCTCACAGCAAGTGACATCTTTTATTGACACTTTTTTTAAGTTGGGTATTTTTCAGGGTTATGTTTCAAATTATAAAGATAGACCATCAGGATCCTTTTTAACTATCTCATGCAGTTACTCATATAAGTTAATTTTAACACTTATATCTACTCAACTTACAAATCACAAGATATAGATCGTGTTTTTCCACTCGCTTGTTTTCCATCTTCGTAGAATGTAGTCCATTTTTATAGTGCAATCACTTCAATGTAAATGTTCATACGTACATATGCCGTTATGCGATGTCCATTCAACATGTCGATACCATTCCATACACGAAGTAAGGAGCATCATCAACCAATAAAGAAGCTACTGATATGATGAATCGCCATTTCGATCGACTACAATTCACAATGCACTGTTATGGTAACTTCAAGCGAAGGAAAAGGGACCGCCCTTCAATAACCCAATTATATCATTACTCAAAGAATGCTTAGTGCAGAGTTGATCTTCTGTGAGTATCAGTTGACCACCTTCAGATGGGCTCATATAACAATGGGGCCCATCATCATTATATGAACAAACAACTGACATCAACAAAGAATCCAAACTACAAATGAACATTCTTGGCCATGAATCACCATGACACATGAGTAATGACAAACTAGTAAGAGTAATTGAAGTGAATGACACAGGTGGTAAAGGGACTTTCACAACTCCATTCTTTTGGGATCTACAATAATATGAAACACATATATGAAAATTCATGATGAATAACTCTGCATAAGAAGTTAGTTTGCGTTTTAAATTCCTAATCAGATATATTGAGAATGAACAAATTGTTATATGCTTTCTGTTTGATTATCTAAATGGTAGAACATTCACCTTCATTGCACGAATAGCTTTAGTGAGTTGAGTTTGAACGATGTAACAAGTTTCACACGATCAAAGGCTTATAGTAGTGATGAAAGCATTTTACAGTGAAAGCTTTCAAATTACGAGGACTACACTAAGACCAGTTCATTATTCCATGTAACTCATACTTCAGTATTCGTCAGTAAAAAGACAGAATTTACCTTTCTTCCAACAACGTTAAAGTGAGTAATTTTCTGTTGAAGTAAAACACACGAATTTAAACATGTTAACGTTTCTTTAATTGACGTCATGACTAAAATTATTATTGTGATTGGCTCCTTAGGAGCATGTCAACTTTCACAAAGACAACAAGTAATCCTTCAATGCGTTTTTAAGGCCTGTTTCAAACATTGCATTTTACATGCGCCCAATGCATTTAAAACAAAAGCTAATGAGATAAAATTCCTTGTTATCTTTTGTCTTAAATACATGCGGCACATTCAAAATGCGATGTTTGAAATAGGCCTTAAAAACGCATTGAAGGATTACTTGTTTTCTTTGTGAAAGGTGACATGCTCCTAAGGAGCCGATCACAATAATAATTTTAGTTATGACGTCAATTAAAGAAACGTTAACATGTTTAAATTTGTGTGTTTTACTTCAGCAGAAAATTCAGAGTCAAATGACTACCGCTAAGGATGTCGAAACGTCAGTCAACAAGAACAAAAACAGTCCTTCTCAGGACTACACCAACCTGGATGATATACATTTACAAACATGTAACGATACTCCCGGGTTCAAACCATTTACTTTAAAATAATTGTATTGTTACATGAAACTATTTTGTATGAAAAGCCAACCACTATCGTTGCATTTGCTGCTGGATTTCTTCTGCTGGTGATGGTGACAGATGGTGTCAGAATTTAATGCTTTTTAAGAAAAAACAATGATATTGAAGGGATGAATGATGGATATTCTACATAGTTTCTAGAGGGGTTGGAACCCACCCCTACATAGACATACCCACCCCAAATTGGTAACCCACCCCTACATTTGGGTCCAAAATTTCCTTACCCACCCCTACATACGAGCCGAAAAAAAATTCGTTTTTTTCTAAGGGAAAGCTGATTTTAGACTAATTTATGGTCTCTCTATGCATACTATATACAACACTGAGAAAGTCTATGTATTCACTGATGCAATTAATGGCTGATGCAATCAATAGCTGATGCAATCAATGGCTGATGCAATCTTTGACTGATGCAATAACATGGTGTCAAATTAGGGAGATATTTTTGGTTCCTTATAGGGTAATATGAAGATAGATGATGCAATAACATGGGGGCAAAAATTGAGTGATGTTGAACTTTGAAGTTATTAACTTTTTTATAGATGCATTTCATCTATTTTTAATTTTCTAATAGGGAAATCTCGGAACCCACCTACATAGACATACCCACCCTAGTTTATAACCCACCCCTAGAAATTCAAAATTTTTTCGACCCACCCCTAAAAGGCATTTTTGAAAATTCCAAGACCCCCCTAAATTTAGGGGGGGTAGAAACTATGTTAAACGGATAAAACGATGTGTCCAAAGGGTTAATTGTATAATGATAAATGGACAAATTACACAAAAAACAATGAAGATATGATATCCAACATCAAATCCTTTACGTCCTATATACACAACGCAATTTCAAAGGTATACAATATATCAGAAACCAAACAACGTATCTGATAGCCACCCAGCAACACTTTCAATTATTTCTCAATCCTAGACGCCTTCTTTCCGTCTTGAGCCATCTGCGAGCGATTGAGCTAAAAAAAAAACACAGAACCGTTTCTCCTTCAATAAAACTCGTATAAATTTCGCTTGAATGAACGTGAGAAATCAAATCGTCAACGCGCAAAAAACAGTTTGCTAGTATGTCACATTGCTATTCATATACAGTAGATACTATACGGTTTTCAACGTTGAAAAATCGATTCAAATTGATGTATGCGACAGAATCAACTTCCCTTCTGTATATAATGAATTTTCAAACAACAGAAGTCGACCACATAGGCCGCACCCTTTGTTCGGACGCCAATATTGCATTAAATAAAAACTAGTGAACCGCTGACCAGTAATGGTATATCCAAAGATACAATCGAATCCGATTAACAAAGGTATAAATCTCTCCGATTCAAGATCACATTTCAAATCAAATTAAATGCGAACTTGGCAACAGCAGTTTACATTGTTGACGAAACTCCTCGACGTTATTTCGCTAAAAGATAAATTAGCTTCCACGTGATCGATAAATCTACCTCAAGTCGCTTCTCTATCGATTCCAATCTATCTTTCTTGCTGGCAAGGGCGGCTCTCGTGTATCTCTTGAGATGGCAGAAACATCACCTGAAAGTGGGAGAAGAGAGGTCAAAACGTTGTGTAAATCACGAACATTGAATACGATCAAATGAATGTAGACTATTCAAAAACATTCGTGGACAATGAAACGAAAGCCAATGAAGCTTTTAGGTTTGTGACTTTTTTACTACCAATGAAGCTTTATTTCAGAAAGCGACCACCTGCTCAAAAAATAATGTGGACAGAATTTTAAGTTTAAGACTCAATGAACCTGGTTACCTTGTCACATATGTGTAACACTCACAGATAGAAATTTTTGGACTTACGTAGTTGTTCAACATCTTATTATAGATGATACGTATTTTGTTTGCAATGAAGCTGAAGAGATGTTTTGAAAAACCTCGGAAGTTTTCGTGAACCATAATATATTTTAACATATATCGAGAAATAGTTTCTCGTCTGTATGAATTTATTTTGTTGTCTTATAAAGTGCTTGAGATCGTCCCAAAATATTCACATAAATAGAAGTGTTATTGCATGTTTGTGGATGTAGATCGTCCAGGTTAGCAGAGTCCTGAGAAGGACTGTTGTTGTTGACGTTGACTGACGTTTCGACAACCTTAGCGGTTGTCTTCTTGACTCTAAAGATGACTACCGCTAAGGTTTTTTAAACGTCAGTTAACATCAACAACAGTCCTTCTCAGGACTCTACTAACCTGGACGATATACATCCACAAACATGTAACGATACTCCCGGGCTCAAACCATTTACTTAAGAAGTGTTATTACTAAAATATTTGCGACACATTTCCACGTCTGCATAATATAGTAGACCATGGTAACTTACGTCCCAAAAAATTTTTGAGCTTGGCAGAAAAAAGTGATTAAAAGTACAAAAAGTTGTAGAGTTCTCAAGGAAAAGAAACTGAGGGCTGATTTTCGCCCCGTACCTCATAATTCATTAGAAATCATTTTTTGTAAATGTTTTCAAGGCTGGTTTCCAATTGTCATAATTCGTCTTTATTTGAGGTAATTCATTTGTCTTAATTCGTTGTAAGCGAGGCTTGGTCACTAAATTTTAATTACAGTGTGAATTATAATTACAGGTATGATGGTGAATTCAGGGAGGAATGGGTGAATTATAATTATAGGTACGTCAGCAAATCCAGGGAGGGACGGGTGAATTATGATTACAGGTACGAGGGTGAATCAAGGGGGGAAGGGTGAATTAGAATTATAGGTACGTCAGCAAATCCAGGGAGGGACGGGTTATTTGGAAATGTCGTCATTCAATAATACTTTCATCATCGATTTATCAAATTATCCTAGCTCCAGGGGTGCGCATCTCCCTTCCGGATTTGCTCTGAAGTAGTGAACATGAAAGACGTCAGCATTGATCATCCACATCACAACTTGATTAACTCGTGAATGCAATCAAGTCAACAAGAAAGTGCAGCGATGCAGTCAACTTACTGTATGTTTGCAATGATGCTTCAAAATCATAATAAAGTAAATGGTTTGACCACGGGAGTATCGTTACAATCTTAACAATCTTATTCTTACATTGCTGGCATGTGCAACTTGCTGATTGGCGTAGGGATAACAATTCCAATAAATAGGGTCTAAAAAAAGTTACAAACGATTGGAAAATCTGCCTTAATAAAAGCAAAATACTAATAAGCAAAACATCAATTACATACCCATCACTGGTGAATAACCCATGTAACATTGGGTCTATAAAACAGATCGCGATAAAACATGAAAACAATGACTTAATACATTCAAAAACGAAGCAAATACGCCTACCTGTTGGGGAATGTATGTATTTTGAGGCCAGTAGACTAACTCTGGCTGTACGAAGGAGGCCTCCTTCCTAACTGCCGGCCCGATGTTTATTTTTTTGTTTTTAAAATATATCACACCGATATTTTCAATAATTTTGACGGTCGATTTCGTCTCAAATGTGACGAAACCGTAACTGAAACAAAAAAATAGATACAAAAATAAGGTTTCGCAACAATGGCGATGGCTCATTAACATAAAACTTGGAGGTGTGTGTATTTTCGCAGCGCACTTGTCACGTTAATTGCAACTATTTCCTGACATGGCTTCAAAACAATCGTCAATGTTGCCAAAAAAGGAAGCTTGCATAATAGGCTTCTCCTTCAAATTTATGAAGCAAATTTGGCTGCGTGCTGGTCATGGTGCGAAAATAAGGGGGTGTTTACATGAATCCGGAATGACTTTCAATCCCGATCGAAGCGTGATGTCAATCCGTGTTTACATGAAACTAATTGTTGTTTTTCTTCGCAATCATTTTAACCCATTTAGCCTCTTTATTTACTTACGAGCTTCAATTTGCCAGAAGACAATACCCATGGCACATGCGTGCTCCGTCATTAATCACAATATCATTCCAGAATGAAACTCAATTCGCGTTTACATGAGATAAAAAGTAAATTTCGATCCGGAATGAAATTTCGATCCGGAATGAAACTAGGAATGAACTCGATCCGGATCGAGTTGTGACTCATTCCGGATTCATGTAAACATGCAATAGGATTTCTTTTAAAGTGGAATGAATTCATTCCGGATCGAAACTCATTCCGGATTCATGTAAACACCCCCTAACTCATACTACAAGTGCATACACGAGAAGATCACAAACCCTTTGGATAGACCTGAATGGTCCAAAATTATTTTTGTTTCGGTGACGTGTCCGAACACACCAAAGAACTCTGCCAGTTCAACTGCGCTGGTCTAAAAGAAAAGAGAAAAATATGAGATCAAATGAGAGAGAGATACTCATAGTAAATCAACACACGACTGCTGAAAAATTCGATTAATTTTTCATATTGACAAGACAATAATGACATGACTTGTGTACAACACATCTAAATGAATCATGAAAACAAATCTAAGTATTTTTGAAATGAACCTTTTCAAAACAAAATCGCTCAACATTTGATAGAAAACTGCACGTGTAGCTGCCTATCTGGAAAGCATTAATAAATACTCACATTTAGAGGAAGACTTCCAACAAAAATTCTGTTTGGAAACTTCTTTCCATACAGGTACGTCTGTATTTCAGCCTATAATCAAGAAACTTTCATTGAATGAAACACAAAACACCTGCAAAGCTTTACAGCACATTCGGATATTCACACTTTAGTAGCCACATGGGGTGGTAATTTGCGAAAACAAAACGCAATCAAACATCTACAATGCAAAATTACATACAAACAAAATGTAACTATACCGCTTTATGAGTAATGGTATAATGCAAAATCACAGCAAGAAAAAACATTTCACAGCGAACAGCCTTTCAGAAAAATGCTGTCTTTTGTTATGCAAATTGCATCTGGTCTACTTACCATTTTCGGGAGGTTAACCTTTTGTAATTCAACTACCTTTTAAACGCTAGAAATAAACAAATACTTTGTTTATTACGATACAATAATTGTTGTGCTGATTTGTAACAACAGTTTTGCTTTACATTGCTTTTCTTGAGCAAACTAATCACTTGAAATATTCTCTTTGCATTATTAAAACGGAACATTCAATGACTAATTGTAGCAACAACTCAATGAAAAATTATAAATTTGTCAATAGTCACTCCTTTGGGAATAGAATTGAACAATCCCACGCTATGCATTGACCCATAGAACTTTTTCATGCATTAAAAGATAAATCAAAACTCACCAAATCTACTACTCGCTTCCGAAGGAGCTCCTTACTTACACAAGATCTTCTATCTACTAACTACGACGGTTGACTTGTCAAATGTCCGTCAAAAGACTCGAAACTAACCACTCTACGCACGTTGCACCTGAATAGTAATGATGCATAACTTGCACAGGATTGGTTTATTTGCAGAGAACATTTTACATTCGAAAACAGCCAATTAAAAAGCAAGAAGTTCGTTTTGCCTCCAGTCTTATGGTAAGAGCTATCAAGACCACACCAACGAGTTGTTGAAAGTTTAAAAATATGATACGTCCAGCATTTTGATAATGCATTTTGAGAAAAGTTTGCATGTGGCCTTTTGTAATATCATTTTGCTCAAATTCATACTTGCGAAAAGTTTGATAGTCAATATCAGGTTTTGTACAAGACAGTGTGGCGGATGTAATATTTGGTGTCTGTTGAGCTAGTGTATTCAAAATTACCAATGATATTATAAAATCTACCATAATAAAAACATAGCGCTGATAGAGGTACTACTACTATTTATTTATGTAAATTTTCTTATCACAACATATTCGAGAGTATAAATTTCACATTGAGGTGTGATTAGTGATGTCTGTGTCACCGAGTTTAATGACAGGTACTTGAAAATTAATCTTTGCGAAGGAAAATACTTCAATTGAACATGTGGTCGTTTCATTTTTTTCGCATCTCATCATTGATTATTTTTTCATTCATCCAAAAGTTAAAAGCAATAGAAGAAAGGAAAAAGCACCTTTCATGAGTATATCGATGTTCACAGGTCATAAAAATTTGGTAAAGGAACATTTAAGATTAGATTATAAAAGGATTTCCTGTTTTGTTCGAACGATGACTACCACAAGAATATGATTGCAAATTTGAAATTTACTTTTTCTTTTCAATACAACAATATTTGTTGTTAGAATTCTATATCATAACAAGAACATCAAATAGTATGCAATGTTAAATTACGCCTGTTAAACGTCGATAAGCAGCTTTCAAAAAATTAGTGATAACATATAATAAATGTTTTTAAATGTTATTTGTTTTGTTATTTTTCACGATGGGCACCTGCAAGGTCAATAGAATTTGAAACCATAGACTCTTGAGTGAGCTTATCAGTTATATTTATGTTATCACCAAGCGCTCAGGTAGCACTTTACAGCCGCTCTTCACGAAGTAAAACTTGACGCCATTTTCTTCAAATGGGAAATCCGCAAATGGTTTCTTTAAAAATACTACGTACTTAAGTTGAAGAGGAAATATTACATGAATGTAATATAACTAAAGTTTTATATTGCTCAATGGTTTATTCTTTCTTTCAAAAATCACGTGAAATATTAACACAAATTTTGGGGAAAAGTTTTTTAACTAGAATCACACAAGATGCAAATTTACTTTCACTTGTTTCAGAAATTGATACAATTAGTTGGAGTATCCTAAAAATGAGTTCGTTTAGGACCGCCTCGCTCTACGTCGAAGGTCAAAATAGATGAAAAAACGTATTGAGAACAAAAAGATAAAATTTGTCCTCAGTATTGAGGTGGCATGATTCAATAATATAAATATACATAAATGTGTAGTAAATTGGTCGGTGACGAATGTTTGGAGAATGTGGTCAAGCGGCTTAGTTCACGTCACGCATTATTACAAATACGTATCCACTTTTCTACATCTTAAAGTTCAGTCATTGATACAGTAAAGATCTAAAGATCATTGACAAATGATCAAGATTTAAAAATTTGCATTTGCTACAGGGTGCAACGCAAGCACACTACAAGCATCTCATCATGAGAATTGATGAGTACATGCTTGGTAAAAAGACATGAAATAGCTATCAACAGTATGACATGATCCTATGGCATGATAAAATATCAAACGCTCCTCTCCTGAAATTTTTTCAAGAGGTATATAAAAAAGTAACGAGGCTACATACCTAAAATCTCCACACTAAGACTCTATGGATCAAACAAACGCGAGTACGACTACGAGAACGAGTACGAAGTTTAACCGTGTAAGGGAATGGCACGAGGAAGTTTGTTGTCGTTGTTGCAAAATTTTGCTTTAGTTGTAAACAACAGAACGAGCCTTTTCATTGTGTAAAACACCGACGTTTGCGAAGCAGCTACGGCTCTATTTGTCAATAATAATATCAAAGAATCGATAATACTGCTTTTGCGAGAATACAGGATTCTTTAGAACTGAAAAATCTTCACTATTTTAAGTTTTATGTACGATATATTTGTGCTATTTTATTGTTTGTTTACCTTTCACTTTGCGTACGAAATACATGAAAGTTTTGCAGGTCATATTTTCCTTTTTAATCTACATCTGCGCTCAAAAAGGGTTCTAATTAAAGCCTGGATGCTCGAAAATAGTACTGCAAACTAATTTCTTACAGAATGAAGAAATATACCTACTTTCTTTGCTTAAAAAGACATCGTAGTCGCGACTACGAATTTTTTACAAAACATCGTACTCAGATTGATGACGGCTACGTGTTTTTGTTGTCGCAACAATGTTTTCGCGCCAAAATGACGTAAATCGTACTCGTAGCATTGAGTTCTATAAGACCTATAGAACTCAATGAGGTCTATAGAACGCATTGAGGTCTTATAGAACTCAATGATCTATACGCTGATGAACCAATGGCCGAACAAGCATGGTATGAAGACTACGTGGAAAAGTCAAATGAACATAAAAAGCAACTTGAAATGCTACAAAAAAGACTTGATCACACAGTTGAGTTGAGTTCTTGGTGAGTAATAAAATTTCTAATTTCAATTCAACTTATGAAATGTATTTCAATTCAGGTTTCAAGTTATGAAATATAGACATAAACGTGCAATTTTCTATTCAAGATTACCATCGCTTTTTTTATTTACTTTTGGGTAAAAAATTGTTAAAAGATGCTCGATTACAATTCTTTAATGTGATTTTCTTTATTGATCAGGTTCAAGTGTGGTTTTTGTCAAGTTACACTTCTTCAGAATCCTCTAGAGAATATGACGTTTTTATAAAATTTGTTAAAATAGTTTTAATAAAGCCGGGATGTTGGAAAGTAACAGAGTGTCATCTACATATCTTCTATTTTATTGTGCCGGAATCAATTAAATCGGAAATGACAGATTTTTTTAAATTCAGTTAAGGCCGAAACACACTGTGCAG